AGAACGCTGCAAAAATGTGGTCTTTGGAGAAGAGTAGCAGTAAGAAAAACTGTTACTGCTCAAAGAAAATAAAGCAAGGAGACTAGCTTTTGTGGAACAACACTCTTCTAATTCTTGAAAATCCCTAAGAGATTATAGAAAAAACGTAGTGTTTAAATAATAATAATAATAATAGGCCTAATACTAATGTCTTATGACAAATATAATTATAATCATGCTTCGCCAGCTTCTAAAAGGCGTTTACACCATAGCGTGTATCCTAGGATGTGAAACTGGTACACTGAGTTTTGGACAGAAAAGTTTATATTGGAAATGATTGGTTCCAACTGGTGCGTATATGATGAAACGGTAGAATGGACGGCAATTCCACAAGAGACACAAGTGTAGAGGACGACGTTTCGAAAGTCTTCCGCCCTTCGTCGTCCTCTACACTTGTGTTATACAACAGGCAGTTGCCGTCCATTCTACAGTTCCATCATGAATACTCTGCCTAAACAATCTATCAAAGAATACGGTGCGTATATGTTCGCTGAAGGATCAATGAGAAGTTGCAGAAGGAGTATCTTGTGCTAATGGTCAAACATGCAAAAGTCTATTATGTTTGGGGTGCAATATCAACGAATAATGTTGAACATCTTTATAAAATTGACAGAAAAACAGGTCGGTATAAATACCACAGTATATTAGTCCATCATCTATACCATCTATAAAGAAGCTGATTGGACAGAATTGCATGTTCCAAGACGATAATGACCACAAACATACTTTCACGATTTGTCGAGTTCATTCGGCAGAGAGAAAAAAAAATCAAGATATCTCCTGCGAAAGGAATGGCCGCCCCAAAGTCCAAATCTTAACCTCGTACAATAAATCTGGGATTTGTTATTGTTTGTTATTAAGCACAAAGCTACACAAAGGCCTATCAGTGGTCTTCCCACCACGGATATCAAAACCCAGTTTCTATTGGTATAAGTCCGCAGACAGGTCGCCGTGCCACTGGGGGGGGGGGGGGATTTGGAATTTACTGGACTCCATGCTTTACAAAAGTAATAACTGTTCTAAATAAAGAATCGAGAAAAATGGAATCAAATTATACCAGAGACTATGAGGAAATACACAGACACAATACCACAAAGTTTCCAAGATGTTATTGATGCTGCCTCCTACTGGCACAGCGGCATGTCTGCGGATTTATACCACTAGAAACCGGGTTTCCATACCCGTTTTGGAAAGAGCACAGATAGCTCTTTGTGAAGCTTTTTGTTTAATAACAAACAACAACAGTTATTGATGCCAACGATGGCTAAACTAAATATCCGCTTTAAACTTAAAGACATTATTTGTGTGCTAATTTTGTAATATTAATTTGTAATAATTACAACTCAATTTCTATAGTGGTTTCTTTCCATTCTCATATAAAAGGCCACGGAAGCTTTACCTGCCCCTAACAACGTGTGGATTAGATGGCGTATCGACGAGGTAAATAGTGCTGATACAATACTCTGTACGCAGTCTTGATCAATTTAAATATACTACTGCCACCTTCTGGATATATATAGAGGTATCACTTATTTTGATGATTTTAAATTTTCTATTCCCTTCAAAACAGAGACAAAGTAATAAATAAAATGATTATACATTTAAATATAGAAACACTATAATGTAGTCAGCCTGAAAATGCACTAACATCGTTATTGAGTGTTTTTTAAAAATTTTAACTTAAAAACAATTGATTAAACATCTATTTTAGATAAAACGCCATCTGCTTCACTGTACCAAGAAATCCATAATAAGAATGTAATTATCATGCAAAGAATATATTATTAACTGTTCTAATAATAATAATCCACACACATAAACTAATAATAGCACCGCACGTCTGGTCTATAACTCTCAAGTTTCTTCAAGCTGAGCATGAGCCAATGAGTATTCGACAGCAAATACAATTTGTTTATTTAGATTTATTTCTATCATCACTGCAAATTCGTTTTGCCAAAAAAAAAGCAAAAAACAACAAAAAAACGGCCATTATCTTATGCAGCCCAAGATGCTGAAACAAAACTAGCAAATATGACCACGGAGAGTAAAAAACAAAGAGGGAAAAGGGAACGAAAGAAGACACATTTAAAAGCCACTTTAGAAAGTGTTAAATTTAGATTTAAGAGTGGAGTAACCAAACCGAGCCCTGCAAAGTTGTTGCTTGTTAACTCCCTTGATATAATAATGCTCTAGTCTAGAACAATGGAGTTTTATCAAACCCAAATAATTTGTTTAAACACCATAAAACGAAGTATCCATTTTATAAATATGTTATCATATTAACAACACATTAACATTTAACATGATGGGGATTAAAAGTTTATCAATAAGCGATTTAACATTAAAATAAACATAATTAAAACCTCTTATTTCTAAACTGCTTAAAAATTACAATTAAATATAATTAAAAGAGTAACTATTTTTGCCTCTAAAAGTGTTTGAAATTTATAACAGCTAAGATATTTGTATCTGTAATCTGCTTAAACACAACAATAATAAACATCACTAGGGGACAAATACGTATATCTGTAATATAATAAACATTATTAGGGTACTAAATACTTGTATCTGTAAGTCGCTCAAACACTACAATAAACATGATTAGGGCACTAAGTACTTGTATCTGTAAGTCGTCCAAACACTACAATAAACATGATTAGGGCACTAAATAATTGTATATGTAAGTCGTTCAAACAATACAATAAACATGATTAGGGCACTAAATACTTGCACCTGTAAGTCGTTCAAACACTACAATAAACATGATTAGGGCACTAAATACTTGCACCTGTAAGTCGTTCAAACACTACAATAAACGTGACTAGGGCACTAAATACTTGCACCTGTAAGTCGTTCAAACACTACAATAAACATGATTAGGGCACTAAATAATTGTATCTGTAAGTCGCTCAAACACTACAATAAACATGATTAGGGCACTAAATAATTGTATCTGTAAGTCGTTCAAACACTACAATAAACATGATTAGGGCACTAAATAATTGTATCTGTAAGTCGTTCAAACACTACAATAAACATGATTAGGGCACTAAATACTTGTATCTGTAAGTCGTTCAAACACTACAATAA